TTCTGAAGAAGGGTCCAGACCCGAAACGTCAGCTTTCCTGCTCCTCTGATATGGCTTGGCCTGCTGTGTTCATCCAGCTCTACACCTTGTTATCTCTTACTTTAAAAAGACTTTTAAATGCATGGAGGGATTTAAAGGGCATGTTGCAGTGATTGAACCAATATTTAGTGGTATCGTGAGAATGTGTGGAAATTCATAAAAACACTATCATACATGTTAATGGAGAGACAAAGGAGGATTTGGTTGAAATGCAGGAGTAAGACACAGAGGATTGAATTTAGGTGAATTTGAAGCGAAATGTAGATGACAATTAAGGTGTAAACAATAAAAAAGATACCAGAGACCGTCATATCTGACATTATTTGGCCATCTCACCACCCACCAGAAATGTGATAAAATGTGTAACAGTCAGACAATGGTTCATTCACCTCCATCCTCTCCATCTCTTTGCTGCAACCTTGCCTTTTCACTAGTTTACTGACATTGCACTGAGCTATGCTTATTTGATATTCCTCCTTGCTTCTCCAAAACATAAAAGTTGACAAACTCCTTCTCCTCACTACAAGTTGGTGTGTTGCTTCTGACTCAAGCTCATTCTTAACTCTTGACTACTGCTGCATTAAGGGAAATAGTGGACTCGTGACTGAGTTAGGAGCTTATGAAGTCAGGGAATAGGTAGCGGAATCATATTTCTGAAGATGAATTCACTATTTTAATAATTTGTATCTGCACTTGTGTTCCACAACTGTATAAACACACAAAAAGGAACAGATTTAGACCATTCAGCCCCTCATGCCTACTCCTCCATTCCAGAAGATCATGGTTGATCTGTTTTTGCTTCAGATTACACATTCCTATCTCTCCCTGGTAACTTTCAATTGCCCTGCCTTACAAGAATCTATTCACCTCTGTCTTAAAAATAATCAATGGCCTACCTTCACAATCTCCTGAGGAAGAGAAATCCACAGTTGCACAGCCCTCTGAGAGAAAGAATTTCTCCTCAGCTTTGTCCTGAAAGGGTGAGACCCTAAATGTAAAACAGTGCTCCCTAAGATATGTGGGTAATGCTCATTTGTTGCCTTGGCTATTTAAAAAAAATGATTTAAATGCACATTAAAACCCACCATTGATTTTCTGTAATTATCCGTGTTGAGGATTAATTACAGGGAGAACATATAGGAACTGAGCCCGTGTAAATGTGTCTCATTTACTGATGTTTATTTGACAAAACAGAAAGTTCTGCAGAAACTCAGTAGATCTGGCAGCAAGTAATACAGTGTGGAGCTAGAGGAACGCAGCAGGTCAGCAAGTATCAGAAGTGCAGGAAAATCAACGTTTTGGGTCGGCACCCTTCATCAGGCATCTGAGGAGAGAGAAACAGAATTAATGTTTTGAGTCCAGCAAGTCGTCTTCAATCGATTCTGCTTTTCTCTTCACAGATGCTGCTAGACCTGCTGAGTTTCTTCAGCAATTTCTCTTTCTGTTTTAGATCTTCAGCTTCTGCAGTTCTTTGTTAATTTTAGTCAATTGGGGATCTTTACTGGGTGCTTTGGATCAGCAAATGACTCCTACTTTTGCTGTATATCTTCTCTGGCAACCTTTTGCTCAGCTGTGCACCATCCAGAGTCAAGGGAGAATACCTTGCTTCTGAAAAACCTAAACAAGGCGTCAGTAGGGTACACAAGAGATGGCCCAACATAAATAACTCCTTATGGGAGAGGGCCAGGGTTACCCACCATAACACATCTGCATTCCAGAATTTTCATTTCCGCGACAGAGATAGGAATGATTATTATTTACCTCAATCCTGTCAATTTCCGCCTTCTGATAATTATCTGAAAATTAAGATTACTGAGATGCTCTTTCCCAGTCCCTACTGGGCTGGCATTTACTGATACTTAGGCTTGTTACAGGAGCTAGGTAATGCTGGAACCTATGGAGTAGAATCCAAATGTGAGACAGAACCAGTAAAACTGGCAGGAGGCAAGGCCGTTAATGAAATTTTGTGTTCAGAGTGGAAGGTCCAAGGATTGCCAGCCGCTGTTTCTATTGGCACAGGTGGCAGTGTTGCCCTTACCAACCATTGTCATTCTATCTTTTACAGGTTGGGGTTTCAGCATGGGCACGTCCTTTCAGTTCCACAGCTGGCGACTGTTTGTCGTGGTGTGTGCCCTACCGTGCCTCTCTTCCCTGGTTGGCCTTCTGTTCGTGCCAGAAAGCCCACGCTACCTTCTAGAGGTGAGACGACCAGTAAAATAGAAGCACCGGTTCACAGGAAAGGCAATCTAGCCCGCTATGGATAATTTGGAAAATTTCCATTTAATCTCTCAAGGCTGAGCTGTTCTGTGTTGCACATTAACATATATTTAACTTATGCCTGAGATTCCTAATTTATCCCGTTGGCGTATCTGCATTCTCATGGATTAGCAAATGGGATGACTGTGTTTTACACCCAAGTCTTTACACCATCAGTATGTGCAGCTCCTGATGGGAGACAGGGGATTGTGAAATGATCCATTAAAGTCCATTGTTCGATGTCAGTGTATCGCAAAAGGAGAGCAGAGAAAGTTATGAGGAGATGAGATGGACGTGTTACAACTTTGTGAAGGATGTGTACAGAACTTAACTGAGAAACTATTTCTGGTGGTAGGAAGGTAGAGGTCACAAGATTAAGGTTTTTAGCTTTAAAAAAAGGCTAGGGGCGGCATGAACAATGTATTGCATGAGAAGGCTAGTGAAAGCTTATTCAATAATAGCTTCCAAAGGGAGTTGGATGAACATTTGACGGAAAAACAAAACTCCAGTCTCCAGGGAAAGTAAAGGGGATTGATACTAATTGAATAGCTCTTTCAAAGACTAACGGAAGCACAGAGGGCTGAATAGTCTCCTTCTGTGTGGTGCCATTCTATAATATCATTCTTTACTTTCTTGGGATCCAGTTGGTGTGGTGAGTTAGACAAAATACCTGACCACTGCAGCTGGAGAAAGGCCTGACTTGCAGCTACCTCTTGGTTGCATCCTTATCCATTTCCTATGACAAGCTGATGGGCACTGGTTGCCATTTGCAGGGCCACTGGTCTGCCCGACCTTGATGGGTGCAAGTGTAATCATTATGATGCTCTGGTGAACGTCCTATTCTTCATGATATGGGGCACGATGATACCTTGATAAAGAGGTTATTCCAAATGTTGCTGCTATGATGCACAATTGTCAAAGAGCTTATAGAAGCAGCAAATTAAAAGTGACTCCTTTAATCCCTGAGTTTCAGGACACAGTTAATTTTATACATTTTGGGGCTGTCTGAATATTTTTGCTGTAATGTTCCCCATAAATCTCAGAGAAACAAGGTATCTGAAGATCTTTTGCCAAAGGTACAGCATATGATCAGGACAAACTTTTTTCCCTCCGTAGTAAACAAAAATCCTTTAATTTCTGAGTTACTGATTTAATAACAATACATTCTGCTCATGTAGTGGCTTTGATAGAGTTAACCCTCACCTTTGCAAAGTGACAATCTGGTCACTGAGCAGGAGTGCGTTGATTATTGTGACTGAAGAACGAGATTATAGAGGCCACTTTGAGCAGGCTTTGGAAGTAGAAGGAGAGCTGTGGCAAGGCTGAGAGGTTCATGAGTTACATTCCACAATTGAGGGTGGAGATAGATGGGGGCAATGACAGCATTAATGAAGAGGAGAAAATGAATGTGCAGCAGGCCAGCGTCAGAGGAATGTGTGAATCACAGTGAGGTGTAAATTTGCAGGGGATTTCCAAAGTTGGCGAGGTGGAATCAGAGAGAAATGAGGGAAGGGTGAATATTAATGAGAACTGGTTGATGGATGAGCAAAGCCTTTGAAGAAGATGAAGATTGGCAAGTGCTTACAACTCCAACAAGAGAAGCTGATCTCCTGTCAGTATTAATGATAATTCTGATTTCTAAGAACTGTATCTTTCAAATTTCTCCCTAATAGATTGGGAAGCATGATGAAGCCTGGATGATTCTGAAGCAGATTTATGATACGAACATGAGGGCCAGAGGCCACCCAGAAGCTGTCTTCACGGTGAGCTGAAAAAAAACTCAATAGCTGATCAATGAAGATGATACAATATTTTATTGAATTTTTCACTTATTTTTGCTGTGATCTTCTTCCTGTTTGATTTTATATTTCTCTCATATCAGTGATTTAAGGCTCAAATCTCTGTCAGCCTATTAAAAGCTTGGGATGACTTGCTTTCTGATCGCTCTCTTTTATTCCCGAATCTTCTCTCCATTCTATTCTTCACTCCCTTCTGTCTCTCTCACTTTCGCTACCTCCCTATCTTTTTCTTTCTTGTATCCATCTCTTCCCCAACCCCCTTTCTCTCTCACTTCATTCCCTACTATTACCCCTCTATATCATTCTTTTTCTTCTCTCCTGACTCCTACATTTTCTTTATTTTCTCAAGTTCTCTCCTTCCCCTGTCTTTCTTGACTTTCTCACTCCATGCTCTCTTTGAACCTTCTCAGATGAAGACAAGAAGGTATAAAATCGAGTAACAAAACTTCAGGCAGCATTTCCCCCACACATCATTCTTTAACTTAGCTAAGAGCAGGCCGAATGGGAGGGGAAGTGGATGAATATTAACAGCAATAAATAAACAAATACAATTCTTATTGCATCTCAGGTTTCCCACATAAAGACCCCAATACAAGTGGATGAATTCATCGAGATTCAGAGTTCAACTGGGACCTGGTTCCAGCGTTGGCTGGTCAGGATCATGACTGTGGTGAAGCAGGTCTGTATAAATCGATCATAAAGCCTTCTCACCAATTTACTATTCAGAAGAGGCGTTAGATAGACATAGAAGATTGCAACTCAATGATTGATTTAAATGTTAGATTTTACAGAGCTAAATTATTTGGATAATAGAAAGATTGCAGAAAAGTTGGGTATTGTTGTAATTGTAATGGGAGTAAATCACATCACATCATATTTATCTCAATGTGAGTGGCATTGTCATGGGATTTGTGGACTAAACGGTTCGGACCTGGTTCTTCATTTCATTGTTGTCTGTGGGAGTTCATTTACACAGTGAAACACAACAGACACTGCATAGGAATAGTAGCTGGTTGTATGTGAGATGTTTTATTTCTAAATGAAAGAAAGAAAGGAAGGAAGGACTTACATTTATATAGCACCTTTCACAATCTCAGGGTATCCCAAAATATTTTGCAGCCAATTCACTACTTCTTAAAATGCTGTAATGTACGAATCACTGCAGCCAATTTGCACACAGCACAGCTCCCCAAACAATGTTGCAACAATGTCCAGATTCATGATATTGGTTGTGAGATAAATATTAGCTCAGGACATCAGGGAGAATGCTGTTGCTCTTCCTTGAAGTGTTGCCATGGTGTTTATCTGCTTCAGAGTGTAAACGTGTCCTGATTTAAAATGTCATTTAAAAGACAGCTCCACACTCCTTCAGGACAGCACTGAAGTGCAGATAACAAGGTGTAGAGCTGGATGAACACAGCAGGACAGGCAGCATCAGAGGAGCAGGAAAGCTGACGTTTTGGGTCTGGACCCTTTTTCAGAAAAATCAGGTGCAGGCCTGGATTAGTTTCCAGACTGGATCCTGAACCTACAAACTTCTTAGTCAGGGCTGAGAATGCTTTCCGCTCATCCTTAGCTGATGCTTGATGAAGTACAAATATTTTTATTTATGTAGCATCAGCAATCTTTCAGCAGATCCCAACTGGGCTGGAGAGGATCAGTAAAGTAAGAATATGGCACTGATTAAAGTGGTGAAGCTAAGAGGAGTTGGCCACTTCCCTTTGGCCTGTTTTGTCATTCAGTTTGATATTAGCTAATCCATACTTCAACTCCATTTGTTCATTTATCTTTATCTCTTGATGACCACAACTGATGTGGTTTCTTTTCAATTTTGTTTGATTGCATTTTGATGCGCACAGTACAATATTGATCCACACTGAGTAGGTTCTATCTCTAAGCCAGTGTTTTTTATAATCCTAAAGCCAGACTTTGTATCCTTGTTGCTGCCTGTGAATCCCATTTTAAAATTAGTTACCAGTAAAAGGTATTCTTAATTCACCGTATTATGGAACAGACCAGACTCCTTCAGAATATATTAAGTAGTCTAGACCCTAACTTTTTCTTATTGTAAAGGTAAATATAAGGTGTTGCATTCCAGATGCAATTCGATTGGTCAAACTACTGGATTTAAAGCAAAACACACTTTATTCATCCACCATAATTAAAATACAGCAAAAGAAAGAAGGAATTGGAATAACAACTCTACTGGAAAACTTAATAGAACAATAGATGCAGTAACTATTACTAACTAACTGTTCTAATATAGTAACATTCCATAAAAACACCCCTTGGCAAAAGGCAAATTCAGAACACAGATTGTCTCACATGAGCCTCCATGGCAGGCAGAGAACCCTCAGCTTTCGGCTGCAACAGAGAGAAGGAAAGATTAGCTTTCACTTCTTCAAGATCCCAACAGCAAGTGCCAAAAGCTAAACTAAAAATCCCGGTTTTGTGGGAGCTTGACCCCGCCTATTCAGGCTGCTTCTATTGTTCCAACTTTAGAATAAAGGACACCCAAGGCTTCACAAGTTGTTTATCTTCTCATAGACTCCTCAGCACTTGTCCCCCAGTTCCTGTCTCTAAAAGAAACCTGAACAGAATAACCTCTTAAAGCCACGGTATCATCACAATCACCTCAGATGTGTTATGACGCATGTCTGATGCCTTGAACCCAGACTTTCTGGCACGTTGTTATACTAAGCATGTCCTAACTGAATGATATTGTGGAATCTCATGGTTAATATTTGCTTTCAGTCACTGACAAGACCTGCATTTATTGGCCACCTCTAATTGCTGTTAAGAAGGTGTTAATGAGCTGCCTTCTTGAATCTGACTGAGGGGCTCAGTAAACCTTTCAGAGGGCAGTTACAGGTCAGTCACATTGCCGTTGCTCTGGAATCACACATACGTCAGACTGGGCAAGGGCAGTCTTGTCCCAGTCTCGAACCATTTCAACTCCCCCTCCCACTCCTCAGACGACATGTCCATCCTGGGCCTCCTGCAGTGCCACAACGATGCTACCCGAAGGTTACAGGAACAGCAACTTACATTCCACGTGGGAACCCTGCAGCCCAATGGTATCAATGTGGACTTCACAAGCTTCAAAATCTCCCCTCCCCCTACCGCATCCCAAAACCAGCCCAGCTCGTCCCCACCTCCCTAACCTGTTCTTCCTCCCACCTATCCCCTCCTCCTACCTCAAGCTGCACCCCCATTTCCTACCTACTAGCCTCATCCCGCCCCCTTGACCTGTCCGTCCTCCCTGGACTGACCTATCTACTCCCTACCTCCCCACCTACACTCACCTTTACTGGCTCCATCCCCGCCTCTTTGACCTGTCTGTCTCCTCTCTACCTATCTTCTCCTCTAGCCATCTTCTATCTGCCTCCCCCTTTCTCCCTATTTATTTCAGAACCCCCTTCCCCCCCACCATTTCTGAAGAAGGGTCTAGGTCCGAAACGTCAGCCTTCCTGCTCCTCTGATGCTGCTTGGCCTGCTGTGTTCATCCAGCTCTACATCTTGGTATCTTAGTGATCCAAGTGTTTTGTTTGACAAGAGTCAAACAGTTTCATGGTTACCATTACTGACTCCAACATTTTATTGCAGATATATTTGATTAATTAAACTACTAAATTACCCAGGAGCCATGCATTGTCAAATTCAAACTTGATATCTACAGATCTTTTGGATTACAAGCCCAGCAACACAAACATTAAGGGAGATCTCAAGTGGACAGTTAGCCTAGATAACTGTAGTGCATAGATCAGGTTAACACCAACAGCTCCAGCTTCAATCCCAGCTCCAGCTAATGTAGACTTAGTGCCTGCCTCCTCAACCTACCCATGATGTGCTGTGTCACAAGAAGGGCAGAACAAAAAGTCATACATGGAACTGGCCCAAACTCAATCTTGTCTTCCTGAAAATGGAATGCTGGTTTAGTAAGTAAAGTCGCCATAGTCCCACACTTGCATTAGAGAGAGCTGATGCTGAGTTTAATCTGAGGGTACCACAGCGAGGTTGAGAAGTCAAAGAAATTCATGGTAACCTCAGCTGGTGCAGGAATCAAACCCAAACTGTTGGTATCACTCTGTGCCAATAAATCAGCTCTCCAGCCAACTGAACTAACCAATCCCCATTTCGACCAGTGCTATCATTTCAAGCTTTACTGGATTTCCCTCATCACCAAGTGACCTGCCTTTGGGCACATAATAAATGAGAGAACATAATTGCATTGTTACTGTTTCCTTATACAGTACAAACATAGGCCTTAGCTAAAACATGCTTCATACATGATCTTATCATCCTACGTTGACATTGTGGATTGTACTAACCAATTTATCATGGCCGTTCAGTGTGTATTCTACCTTTTAATCCCTCATTTATGGTATGATTGCTGATTCAATTCAATATAAGTTTTTGGAATTGTCCCTATAAAGACCCAATCTTTAAGATACAAGGGATGTTACTGTCTCTGAGACTGTCACCACATGAAGGCTTAACAACACAATGTTTGATGTTGATACTTTTCTCACTGATTAAGGTGTGATGTAGCAGTTATAAAACAGCACCACAGGGGAATATCTACGAGTACTCTCTCACATTAGAGTTTTGACTATTTTTCAGGTTTGGCAGAACATGTTGCTTTGTTTTACACCAAAGTACAGGATGACAACGCTGTTCCTCGCAGTGGTTTGGTTCACCTTATCCTTCAGGTTAGTGCTGCCTCCCAGCGCCAGAGGGTTCAATTCCACCCTCAGGTGTAAGTCTGTGTGGAGTTTGCACAGTCGCACCGTGTCTGCTTGGGTTTCCTCTGGGTGCTGTGGTTTCCTCCCACAATCCAAAGATGTGCAGGTTAGGGGCAGCACGGTGGCTCAGTAGTTAGCACTGCTGGCCTACAGTGCCAGGGACCTGGGTTTGATTCCACCTTCGGGTGACTGTGTGGAGCTTGCATGTTTTCCCTATATCTGCGTGGGTTTCCTCCAGGCGCTCCGGTTTCCTCCTATGGTCCAAAGAGGTGCAGGTTAGGTGGATTGGCCATGCTAAGTTGCCCATAGTCTCCAGGGATGTGCAGGCTAGTTGAATTAACCATGGGAAATACAGGGTCACAGGGATAGTAGAGAGAGTGTGGGCCTGGGTGGGATTCTCTTCAGAGCACAGTGTGGACTCGATGGGCCAAATGTCCTGCTTCCACACTGTAGGGATTCTATTCTGCTGATCCAGGGCAAAGCAATGACCGTGAAAAATCATTCAGACTTTAATTTTTGCGTTCTGAGAATTGAATTAGATACGTAAACTTGAATTTTCACAACACTAGAGGAGACACCGCTATCTGAGAGAATCTTTTTACAATTGAGTGATAAGCTCCCCATGCAATGTCCTAGACACTTTACAGGACCAGTGATACTGGTTTTGCCAGGGCAGTCCTGGTTTCTCGTTAAGGCATCTGGCCATTTCCTCAGAATGGTTCGTATCTCCTGGTTTACAGCTTTCCAGTTCACATTGCTGCAGTGGGATGGGTTTGAATGGGATTTAAGTTTGCAAATGCGCATTTGGCACAGGGTGTTGCTTTGATCTGCAGTGCCGCGTTCAATTTACAGAACCCGGAAGGTGGCAGGACAGGTTAATGGAGTGGCTAACATAGGGTGCAGAGATAACACAGTGTGGAGCTAGAGGAACTCAGCAGGCCAGGCAGCATCAAAGGAACAGGAAAGCTTTTTTTTGGGTCAGGACCCTTCTTCAGAAAATGTTCTTCTGATGCTGCCTGGCCTGCTGTGTTCCTCCAGCTCCATGCTTGGTTATCTCTGACTCCAGCATCTGCATTTCTTGCTATCTCGGTGATTTATAGCATAGATTATAAGAGCAGGGAAGTTATGTTAGAGCCATACAAACCTTTAGTTAGGCCACAAGCTGGAGTACTGGAGTGGGTGTCATACTATAGGAAGGATGTGATTGCACTGGAGAGAGCACAGAGGCGAATCACCAGAAATGTTGCCTGGGATGGAGCGCTCTAGCTATGACGAGAGCCTGGATCAGCTCAGATTGTTTTCTTCAGAGCAGAGAAAGTTGGGAGGGGGGGGCAGACCTGTTAGAGGTGTATAAGATTACAAAGGGCATGGACAGGGTGGTTAGAAACCAGCTGAAGGGTCAGTAATGTAGGGCATAATTTTAAGGTAAAAGTCAGGAGGTTTAGAGAGAATTTAAGGAAATTATTTTCATCCAGAAAGTGGTGGAAATCTGGAATGTATTGCCTTGGAAGGTAGCAGAGACAGGAAGCCTAACAATTTTTAAGATATACTTAGGTGAGCACTTGAATTGTTCAAGGATGTGGACCAAGGGGTGGAAAGTCGGACTAGCGTAGGCTTCGAGTAATTTATTGGTGCAGAATTGAAGGGGAGAAGGGCCTGTTCTGTACTGTATGCTTCTATGATTCCACGATAAAGTGGGCACAGCTCATCTGGGTGAGGCAGACAGAAAGTGGGCAGCAGGAACATAAGAACTTCAGCAGGAGTAGGCCATTCAGCCCCTCAGTCCTGCTCTACCATTTGAAATGATCATGGCTGCTCTTGCCTCAGCCTCAACTCCACTTCCTTCCCTGCTCCCCATAACAGGAAGTGGAGGGCTCTTATCCACGTTGTTGACATCTGCAGGGTGTAGTTTCTTCAGGATTGGGCTGGGAATCGACTTTGAAAAGAAGGAATGGCCACATCACTTTTTCAGGTACCTCAATGTTAAAAAGCAGAGAGTCTGTTGAACCTTAAGGAGCTGCAAAGGGACGTCATTCTCCATTTTGAGGGGGCTTCAAGGAATTTCAGGTTTTCCCTTTTGGAAATCTGGTCACCCTATCTAGCACACTTGTTGATGACCCCAACTTACAAACCTCAGAAAGCTACACACAATATATTGTCACAGTGACGTTCAGAAATTAATAATGCAAGTCAACCAATTGGTGGAAAGCACTATGGATCCCAGGCTGAGTATTGCGTTCCAAAGCCGAGACAGCTGGTTAGGGTTAGGAGTTCTCATTTACTGGAATCATCTATCATTAGTCCCAGAAGGACAAACAGCAAAAAAAAAAATTTGGAAATTAATGTACTGGCCATATTAGAGCACTGTTCTGAGGCATACAAACCAGTTTGGACCAATGTGAGTCGTTCACAAGTTTCACTGGTTTTTCTTTTTCGGGAGCGTCTTCAATTTCAACTTTCATTCTCTGGCTTCCTATTTAACAAATGGCAAATAAACTAATGATTGTGCAGCAAGTCACAATGGATTGAGCTATTAATTAAGAATTAAGAGGCTTTGGAACTGTATGTTGAACTCTATTCTATTTGGATTCTGCCCTTGTTTAGCTACTACGGTCTGACAGTGTGGTTCCCGGACATGATCAAATACTTTCAAAATGAAGAGTATGAATCCAAACTTAAGACATTTGATCAGGAGAGAGTTGAAGACTTCACATTTAACTTCACACTGGAGAACCAGCTTCATAGAGAAGGAGAGTACATCAATGTCAGGTAAGCCTACAATAGAGTGTCAGGTGAGCAGAGTGTGACAAGTGTCCACCCAATCTACTCATCAGAATGATCCTGAATTTTTTTTTGTGTGCAGTACATTTCAAGCTAGTATCTTGTCAACAGCACAGAGTCTAGAGTCTAAAACAGTCTAGACTGTGTATTATTATGAAATTATAAAGTCCTGGACTAGTGTGGACTACTTTGGATTAGCCAGACCTACATGTGCAGTTTTCTATCTTGTAGTATAACTACAAAAAACATACCATTAAGTCTCATGTAGTGAAATCGCACTGAAAAGAAATCCCATTTTAAAATCACAGGGCAAACATTGAGTGGCAACACTGAGAGATCTGGCCTGGCAGTCATTGATTTGCCAATCACTGATATTTTTCTCATTTCTATCTGGTTGTAACAGCTGCTTATGCTTGATTTTACTCAATCAGCTCCAGGCTCTGAACCGCAGAGAGTCCCTGGATTCATACTAAGCCATGAATTGCTCCTAGCAACATTTGGAAGGAACGGAAACAAATAGGATTTTGGCTTTTAAACTGGGAACAAGAGCAAAGAGATTAAGATCAATTAAACCTGTCAATGGTTACTGCTATCTGCATTTTGACAGCCATTTTATAGAAAGAGTTATTTTTTAAAATTTGTTGGATGTGCCAAATGCCAGACCACCCCATCCTTAATTGCCCAAGAGGCATTTGAGAGTCAACGACATTGCTGTGGGCCTGAAGTCTCATACAGGCCAGCCCAGATAAGGATGGCAGATTTCTTTCCCTAAAGGGCATTAGTGAACCAGATGGGAATTTTCCCCTAACAATCGATTCACAGTAATCATAGATTCTTAATTCCAGATTTCTATTGTCTTCAAATTCTACCATCTGCCGCAGTGGGATTTGAACCTGGGTGTCCCTGGATTAATAGCTTAATGATAATACCACGAGGTTATCACCACTCCTTGATTTGACGTTATGATTATAGAGAATGTGCAACTGAAATTTGTTGGGCTCACCCAAGGATGGGAAACTATGAGAAAAGACTAGGTCAGTTGCAAATGAGCCGAGAAACCTGAGGTGATGCAAATTACTTTAAAATGATTAATTGCTTTGACAGATTTAATAGGGAAAGGTTATCTTATCTTTTTGGAGAATCAGTAATGAGTGGTTCATCAATTTAACTGTCTTTTATTTACTCCTTCATGGAAAGTGAGCATCACTGGCTTGGCCAGCATTTATTGCCCATCTCTAATTGCCCTTGAGAAAGTGTTGGTGAGTTACCTTCTTGAACTGCTGCAGCTCACATTGGTAAACCCACGCTGATGTTAGGAAGGGTCTTCACCCAAAATTTCCGGAAAGCGAGGTAACAGAGTTAACGTTTTGGGTCCGGTGACCCTTCCTCAGAAAACAGAGCTAACGTTTTGGGTCCGGTGACCCTTCCTCAGAAAACAGAGCTAACGTTT